AGCGTTTTTCTATCAGGGAATCCCGACGTCCCAGTACTGGGACATCTCTATATATATAGTAGTAGTATAAGCCATCAATTGTAAGTGATTTGTTGTCTTACGAACAACGTCGGGGGTGTCCAGGCTCTTAATGTTGCATCAACGTGTCGCTTATATATTTTTCTGTACTCTGGTTTCCCTCAGTTGCCCCAACGGATAACGGCGGCCCATTGGCTGCGATCGGAAGCAAACTCCTCGCAAATGTCAACCAAGTGGTTGTACTGGGCCAAGATACGTAGTCCGGAACTTCGTCTTGCTTAGATTAACCGCAAGGCCAATAGTTTCAGCTATCTGATGATTTGGTTTAGCTTTGCCTGTAGTGAATGAGGGTATTACCAAGTACGACAATCTCATCAGCATACTCCAGGTCAGGTACTCTGAATTCAGAGCTCATTTCACATCCACTACCAGTTAGAATTGATTGGTACATCACTCAGTCAATCAAGAAGTTGAAGAGTCCTGGGAAAAGAAGCCATATTTGTCGAACTTCAGAACTCAGTGGGAAAAGATCAGACTCTTCACCAAGGGCTCTTACTCGGGTTGATGTTGTGCTATATTAGGCTTTGGTCAAATTGAGCAACTATTGGGAGTCCATCAGCAAGGAAGGTTTGCTACAAAGCTTCACTATCGATGAAATCAAAGGTGGTCCAGAAGTCAATGAAACAGCTGTGGCGATATTTTAATTCTGCTGTCGGTGTCTCAGTATGCGGCTCAAAATGAAGATCTGGTTAATACGTTTTATACTTGGACGAAACCCTCCTTAGTTAGGATGAGTGCGTAAATTGCGGTCAATCGCAAATCTATTGAGGATTGTCGCAAACACTGGTGACTGTATTGATGAGACTGATGCCCCGATAGTTGACACATATCGTCACCGCGTATCTGTATCGGTGAGATGATGGTCAATGACCAGTCATTTAGAATGAATTCGGTAGACCAGGTAGTCAATAACAGTCGATAAAATGATTCTGCTGAAATAGAACTGCCAGTTTTGTAGACTTTCGCTAGGATACCATCTATTCCTGATGCCTTTCGACCTTTCAATCGTCGAAATGCCGTTTCCAATTCCGATCATGGAAGTGGCTCGCAGTCAATATCATATAGAATTCCATTTGATAGTTGTGGGTTCAGAGATAAACGCATAGGCGGACCCAGTAGCTCTGTGAAGTGCTCTCGCCTTCGCTCGCTTTTGCCAGCCATATCGGTTATCACTTGACACGACTTATCCCAAACGGTGGTGCAAGGGCGTTTGTTTGCCCGATACCTTACGCAATAGATAATAAAGCCGGTGAAAATTACCAGTGTTAGAAGCTGATTCCATGGAGCCATATAACTCAATCTAATATTTGTACAGGTCACATCTTGCTGATCGCATAATTTTACGTCTCAATGAACGATAATTCTCTGAGTTGGACCACCAGGTGATCCTAGATGAAAAGTCGTTGTGAAGATACAATCCTGTCTCGGTGCTACTTGTTGTTGCGAGGTCGAATTCATTGCTCTTTATATGGTTTCCCTCAAGTGTGGCCACTGAATATCAGGCAAAGTTAGCTTATTTACGTTATGTGGAGGTTTGATGTGAACGGTAGATTTATCTCTGATCCGTGCAGTGACATTTTTTAGAACGCTCTGCGGGTTTCTGTTTTTGATAGTGCTATAACGTCGACACGTTGTGGAGTTTATCTCTTACTTTGAATCGACAAGTGGAGATTGAAGCAAGCACGATCAAGTTCATTGTCATATTCAGCTTCCGCACCTCGAAAGGGTCAGTTGTCGGATAGTGAGGTGGTCCACGTTGAGCTCACCAAGATGTAGTTTGTCTGGCTTGCCGTTCGACCATCCTTTGAATACCACGTTAGCAACTGTGGATGTGGGTGTTGAAGATGAGTGTTTGTAACGAGGAGAGTGCTATTATCAGAAAATGGTACCGATCGTTCTCCGTCGTCGCAACGTTGGTCCAACCCATATTTTTCGAAGATGTGTCTCGTGGCTTCATCGCATTGGCTAGTTCTGGCATTCCAATCTTCGGTGACCAAGAAGAAATTTCTAGGAGCCATATTGGCAACCGTAGCTTGAAGGTTCTCCTAGAACTCAGCCTTGACTGCTCCATACGCCTGCAATATTGGAGCATATACGGCAATCACATACATATTTGCTAGGTTGCCTTTGGAGCGGGCTGTGACGATGCGCTCTGAAACGGGCTAACACGCTAAGAGAGTGCTGTACACCTGCTTCGTCATGGCTATTGCCACCGCACGCTATCGTTAACCTACCACTGTGGAGTAGAATCTGCTTAGTAGAACCTTGATTTCTCTCGATCCAGACTCGGGAAGACGAACTTCTGACAGGCAGAAAACGTCTTCCTTATGTTCACACATTCCTGCAATCGATATGCAGGTTGTGTCGCAGATACTGGCCCGAATATTTGACACTCCGGGCATCAGACGACCACGGAGCGCGTCGCTTCCCGGGAACGCCGTGATATTTGTAATTTCAATCAAGTTTCTTGGAAATTTTATTACAGTTACTGTCCCCGGTGGTATCTACCATTGCCCTCTGTTAGCCGTAAGTATACCCACGTTGCCCGCGTCCCACCACGAAGAGGCCGAGGGTCGGATTTCGGCGTTGAGAGTAGCCACCAATCTCCTATAGGATGGCGTTGATGGTGGTGGCGCATAAAATAGCAGTTAGCTTGACGTCGTAGATAGCTTCAGCGATCGTTGGAGTTAGGAAGAGTTGTCGATGGTGATCGTCACTGTGCTTTGCACGGGGCTTGCACTTGGGAGGGTGGTGTCGATGACCGAGGGGAGGGGGGGGGCGGGGCATCGGTACTGTGATCACGGGTGATAGGGATGGGTGTCGTCGCTGTGAACGTTGTGGGATCTGAGTCAGGGGTGTCAGTAGGGATGATAGGTTGTGTAGACGTTAATGTCTTTGGATTGTTGCCACATTGCACCTGAAGATATCTGACAAGACTGATTTGTGCGTAGAATGTGCGCTGCGTTGAGGGCATGGTCATTGGTGGTATGGATCCATGGTATTCTTCAACCAACCTTTGGGCTTTGAAAGCATAAGTCCGGTTTGTTTCGTAGATTGGTTCGCCAGTCTTTGCTGTTCTTCTTCAGGTCCGTTGGTCCTGGGCAATGCCGTCATAAGTTTCAGAGTTGATTTGCAGTCGCTTAAAAGTTCTTATAGATGTCATTGTAGCGTCGTTTTCGTCTTCCTTGTCAGCGATTGCCCGTAGCAACACTTAAAATAGTTGCTTGCGTAGTCACTCGTCGTCTATCCTCACTAGATAGCTACTCATGGCATTTACATTTGCCTTACTATAGCAGGGATAAAAAAAACTTCGGGTCCCTTTCAAGAATTCCGTGTTCAGGATCCTGTTCTGCTATCTCAGTTTCAGTATTTTGCGGAGGCATCTGAGACAGAAGTGATTAAGCGTTCTGACTTGATTGAGGTAGGCGGTCCAGGTCTGCGCTCCATACATCAGTGTCGGCAAGATGACGGTCGATATATACACGAATATTGGAGACATGCCCGTTCTCAAATTCCCAATAAGGCTCCTGAGAATGTCCGCTTTCAGTACTGCAATACCTAGTACGATGTTCTCGAGAATTTGCGCGCTGCGCAACCCTAATATAATGGTGCTGGCCAGTTTTGCTGAACGGCTCAACTTCCTATCTATTTTATAGCCTAACCGCTTGACCTGTGACAGAGAAGGTTTAATATAGAATGTGCCATTGAGGCCTTTCTTGGTCGGATGCCGCGCAACGTAGCAACTGCCTGTTCAAATAATTGTTTATTATTGTTTCCCCAGTAGTGCTGTGTGCACTTCAGTTCAACTACTTCCGCGGCATCTACGTACATCTTGACTTCTTGTAGACACAATATGGAATTGAAAATCCAGGGTGTCAAGATTCACATGCCCTATAAGCCCTACGGATGTCAACTCTCCATGATCAACCGGGTATGTCTGGCCTACATTCTTTTTATGTCAGGTTGTGAGCGCACT